CATCCTTTTTAATTTTTACTTTGTCTCTAACTCAATAAGAGATTACATGAGTATAGATGTAAAATTCACTTTTTTCATGAAATATAGAGTACAGAGTATATATTTTAAATGATAGTTGAATTTAAAATAGTTTCTTAAAACTGTACATTCTTCATTTGAGAATAGAATAACAGAGTTGGAAGGGACCTAGAGGTCTACTAGTCGAACCCCCTGTTTGGCAGGAAACCCTACACCACTTCAGACAAATGGTTATCCAACATCATCTTAAAAACTTGCAGTGTTGGAGCATTTACAACTTCTGGAGGCAAGTTGTTCCACTGATTAATTGTTCTGTCAGGAAATTTCTCCTTAGTTCTAAGCTGCTTCTCTCATTTTAATCATGAACATCCTAATGAACATAAGATCTAATCATGCAACCTTAGCATTGTTTATTTTTGTTAATCTTAGTTTAAACAAACCATGTTTTCAAAGTTTAATGGCACAAACAACTGTTATTATGTTCAAGATTGTGATGCTTCCCATTTCCAATGAAAATAGTGGATTCAGAGAAAGAAAATTTCCTCTATTTAGTCTTAGCAGGAAAGGATAAATTCTCTTTTTGAACTGGCCTACTCTGCATTAGAGGCTGGTAGATATGCTGTTGCCTTATAATGGCTGGATGAACGTTATAATCATTTCTGTGAATTCAATTTAGGTATGGCTTTAAATTTCTTGCATACTCACTTTGATAGTGATGGGCAATTCTCAGGACTGTAAAAGGACACATGTTTGTGTTGTGCTTTGGAACCAAATGCCATACATAGTGAAGCCAAGTTTTCAGACCTATGCTGTTCTTATTTCAAGTTCCCAAATGAGACGTGCTTATAAACAGGACATCAGCCGGTGTTGAGGCTGTGGCTTCTCTTAAACAGTGGCTTTTCTTAAATAGTGAAGTTGGTCACAGTTGAGTTTGCGGTGGATGTGCTGGAAGCAGAATTTTTAGAAAAGAACACTGTTAATAATAGCCAGTTGGTATGTCTGTTGGTATGGTGGAACAGGCTGTAAATACCCTGATGTTCTGTACTGTGGGTAAACCTATTTTTTTCCCTTAGGGGGAAGGAAATTGGGTAATTTTCACTCTTGCAATTTGCATCCTGCTCCAATGTCTGTTTATTCCAAATAAGTTCCACTGGCCTGGCAGGTTTTACTGCCAAATAATCAAATAGGTATGTAGCTTTGCAGGGTTTGTGTCTATAAATGGCTACACAATTTGAGAGTCAGTCAGGACTCTGTTTTATGGTTTTTAAGTTATTTACTTGCTACAGGATAATTGAATGACATTATAAGATCCTTTGAGTTATACTTCAGGTGAAACAACAAAAATTGAATTAAGTAATTCAGGATAAGCACTCCATAGTGTTAGATCACTACTGTATGAATTCTGTTTTATACAGTATATAGTATTAGTATATATAGTATTATACAGTGTTAATGTAATATTAATTGCAGAACACTTCCCATGCATTTTCGGAGTTCATTTTTATTACTATCATTTCATCTCATGTAAATAAGACCTGCCACAAATATTGTACTGGAGAACTATTTTCCAACAGGTCGTTTTGTGCTCTGTTGCTGTCCACAGTTGCTAATGGTCAACAGTATTGGTGTCTAGTATATTTTAGAATATACTTGTATCCCAAGAGTAAAGTTGAAAAATAAATTGCCAAAGCATTTAAGAATCTTCTGTGAAGAAGCAAAATCATACATTTTTCATGAACTCAAAATAATTTTTTTTCAGATGTTTTTTTCAGATATTTCAGATGTCTGGGCATATGGGAAGATCCTGGAAATGGTGGATCCTTCCCGATTCCTTTGTATCCTCTTCTTTCACTCTCTGTGATTGTCAGTCAGTATTCTCTAACAACTTAATGTTGTTTGATTATTCATGGTGGTGATGCAGAAATTACATATTTCACAAATTACATATTTCACTTTGAAAGTATAAAGTCACCCTGATTTACAGCAGTAGATTGCCAGTATGCATAATTTAATTAGTTTTTTTTTTTAACTAGGAAAGAAAAGAGCATTTAAGGAAAGAATTCATTCATTTCCCAACATATGCAAAGCTTGGTGTACTTTCCATTTACCATTTTGTAGTACCACTGGATAAATAAAAAAACCACAGCCAAAAATACAGATAATTGTATTTGTAATTGTGCTTGAGACTTGACCTCAGCTTAATGTAAAACATATAGATGTAGATGTATAGGCATTAAGCGAGAGGAAAGAAATGTGTATTTTTTAGATTTCTAAAATGAATGATCTTACCTAAGAAATTTTAATTATTTGGTATAGACATTTTTTAGCAATTTTGGGGTGCTTTGAGAGATCTTCATTTTCAGATCTTATAAACATTTCAATCTACAATGGTCTATGCAGATGCCAAATGTGCTTTTTAAAATGTTTAAGATATTTGTACAAATTATTTGAAAGATATGCGGGAGTATTCGCAATTGCTTCAACTGTTCCATTGTGTCCCTCTGTGTGTGTGTGTGTGTTGTGTGTTGGGGAGGCAGGCTTCACTTCAGCAGCAGAGACACATGCACAAACAGAGCCCTGAAAGCCTGCTCCTCCAGATACTTGTAAACAACAAATTGAAACAACAAAAAGTCTTCATTTTGAGGTAAAAAAATAGAGTATAAATCTTAGAAGAGACTTCTCATGATGAAGATACATAGCCAAGAACAGCACCTGAAGTAGGAGCAGCCTAGAAAAAACAATAAGCTCCTTTATTAATTCAAAAATTGGTGCTTCTTAAATGTTCCTGTATTAAAAAGAAATTGTATATTTACTAAAAGTGAACTTTTTACCATTATTCTTTTATGATTCTTTGTGTGATAAACTTCACACATTATCCTTTCTATAACATGCCATTTCTTACTGTTCTTAATTCATATAAATTGGTTGTAAAAATATTTCTTCATCTAAAAGGCACTTCAGTTAAAGTTAACCCTTTGTTGCCCCCAAACTTTGCTTCTAATTGAATAGTTTAAGTGGACAGATTCTTAATACAATGATGGGCTGTATTTTGACACTATGTCCATTTCTATCAATCATTTCTTCTTACATTGCTTTGAAGATTCTGTTGAGGTTGTCAGGAGAAACTAATTTAATTGTACAATTAACATTGTTGTACCTTCAATTTTATAGGAGGTGATGGGAACAGCAATCTTAATTTTCTTGATACAAATATGAGCTCCATCTTCCTGGGCCTCCAACAGAAAAAAATAATATAAATATACTTATTCCTTAAAAAGGATAAAATAGCTATATTTCCAGTTATATGCTGCTATTTTATTTTACTTATATATGTTTGTTATTCCTTTTCTAATTAAAAAAAAAATCCTAACATACAAAGTTTATTTTTTTAAAAATCCTGATTTCATCCACTTATTATATCTTTTGTCTTTTTTAAAATAATCTACAGTAAAAATTTTGTCCCTTTGATTTTGAGAAAGCATGTTTTAGACATTTTATTTAAAAGTTTGTTTAGTAGTCTGAATTATTTGGAGTTGGCAGAGTTCTAAATCATATAAATAAATAAGGTATATTTCAATAAATTTTAAGGATTTCTTAAAAAGCTGTAATAAATAATACTAATGTAGGGCTACCAAATTGACAAGTAAAATTTTGACAACCACTATATGATACATTTCTTCCTGCTATCATCTAAAAGTCGTGTAGATTTTAATAAACCTCAATAATAGAAACAGTTATCAAGCGCCATAGGTCTACAGTTCACATCCTGTATGTTACATACAGGATATTATGCAGATAGAATGTATTTTGGATTTTCTTGGATAGATTGGAACAGAATTTGCTTTAGTGAAACAAGATTTACATTGTTGGGGTGGAAATCAAATACAGTGCTTAAATTTGTAGCATGTGGACAAGATAATTTAATGTGCGCATTAAATAATATTTATTTAATATGTAGTAATAATAATAAAAATAAGTATATCTATCAGGGAAAATCAATACTTTTTATTGATTTTAGTAGTTTATATTTACATTAATAAAAATATAACTTAAAATCTTTTCCCTTGTACAGAAATAATTTTGTTTTATTCATTAGTACAGTTGGATTCTGATAGTTCAGTTGCTGTAGTATGAACAATTATAGTCCTGAAGCACAACAAAGAAACCTATAAATCTCAAGAAGAATTCTAAATCTTTACATGCTTAAATGCTATATTTTCATACAGATCCCAAATAATTCTTAATAATTTTGCCAATATGAAAACTATCATAATGATGTTTTGTAGAATCATAATCTTTCAAAGGCTTTCAGATCAATATACTTATTATGAAGTATAGCACAAGCTTAAGTGCTTTGTATAGAGGACACATTGATAAAAGGCAGATTTTACTTGATTTGTTTTCAACATTAATTTCAGAGCTTCAAAATGTATTTAATTCAATTTGCAACTTACATTTTCAAATAGCATATCTTGTCTTGGTGGCTGGGAGATTAAAAGATTGCTAAAAGCTTAAAGTTATCTCAGAATGAAAATACATGTTTAAAAACTTTGTTTGAAGTTATACTTTTTTCTTAAAAATATACTACGGCAGCAAGTAAAAATATCAGCAGAGGAAGTAGAAGAATATATAATAATGGAGTCATCATTGATTGTTACGCATGCCAAATTAAATTTTTGAAATGTGAAACCTTTTTAAAAAACATAATTTTGTTGCATCACTCACTGGCATTTACTAGTATTTCTTGAACCAACTTTTCGAGGGACTGGATGTAGAAATGCAGCTGGAGTGTGAGAAGCTGGTACATTTCTTTTTTCGATCTTGTGGAAATTAATTGAAGGTACATCTGTTGCTCTGCTTTTTCTGCACTTGGATTAATTTAATTCAAAACCAACCAATCAAGCCTTTTTTAAAACAACAACAGAGGACTATAACTGAACACAGATTAAATTCATTCCTCTTTATTTTTGTCTTCTTTTCAGTTAATCTGCTAGATTCAAAAGCAATTCAAGGAGAGCTGGGCTGGATCTCCTATCCATCACATGGGGTGAGTTCATTAAACTGCAAAATGGGAAACAGTTCTGTGCTATTTAATCTTTTCTTCATTTGTGGAAAACAGCAAAACACAAGTATTATTTAGTATAGCATTATTGTTCTTTATTCTTTTAAAACAGAGTTTATATTTTGGGACTCATGCTTCCAGTCACACATCCCTGAATATGTTCTGTGTTTCATATATTACCAAAACAGCAGCCACATCTCTTTCAGTAGTATTAAAGTGATTATAAATATTTATGCTAAGGATTGCTAAGAATATTTTTTTTTACTTAGTCAGCCTTTTCTAACCTATATTCCTCCAGATTTTTTGGGTGGGGGGAGGGCTTTAACTTCCATGATCCTTATTAGGATTCCTTATTAGGAAATTAGGATTGATTATATTGAAGATTTATTTGATATTGATTATGGTTTGGATTGAATGATTGAAGATAGTTGAGTCTTTCTTGAACATTTTCCATGTTAAAGCATTAGATATAAACAAGGAGAAGATTCTTTCATGTGAATAATAATTCCGTAAAACTGTTGATTTTAAAACAAATTGACCAAAAAAACAAAAAAACAAAACCCCAACTACAGTTCCATACCAATGAAGATACTCTCTTATTTTTTTTCCTTGTACTAGAAAATAATTTTAATCATAATATGAAAATATTTGCTAAACCTGAACTGAAATAGAATTTGTAAAACATGTTACCAATTCAAAATAATGTGAACCAAACATTGGCTGTTGCATTTTCATTAGCTGCATGTAAACAGTTATAAGCATGAAGAACAATGAGAAACATGCATTGTAATCTCACTCTCACTAGACCCAGTTAAAAAGCTCAGTATAATTTGAAAGCTCCCATTATATTATAATTAGACTATACTACCCATGCCTTGTTTTGATTATCATTTCACAGATACTTCCTCACCAGAAAAACAGAATGATTACAGGCAGGCAAAAGTAGTGGGAGTGGGAGCGGGAGCAACTTCTGATTTCCTGCCGGCTTTCCTATTGAATTTCTTTGAGGGAAGCTGGCAGGGAGCATGAGGAATCTTCCTTCCTTCCTTCCTTCCTTCCTTCCTTCCTTCCTTCCTTCCTTCCTTCCTCCCTCCCTCCCTCCCTCCCTCCCTCCCTCCCCCACAGGCAGACTGCTTTTCATTGGGGGAAGGAGTAATGGATTGTGGAATGGCTGGGAAACTGTTATGGAACTTTGAAGATGATGATCACATGACTACTTCAGCAGCCCAACAGCACAGCAGCAGCCTGGCAGAACTGGAACAGCCACAAGTTTCCCAATTTTAATTTCTCAGGAGTTATGGGTTCCAGATTTTGGATCATTCTATAAAATAACCTATTTTAATTTAGAATTTAAAATTTAGAATTTTAGGAGTATATGTATATACATATACATATGTATGTCTCTTTAGCCAGGTTCTACCTACGTAAACCAAGATATTATGCAGCCCTAGTTCAGTGAAATCACAATTCACTAGTTTCTGGGCTTTTTTTTTTTTCTTTTTTCTTTTTCTGGCAGCCAGCAGACCCTTTGCTGCCCATTGGGAGATGGTAGGTAGAACCTGGTTAAAGAGACATACACATAAAACCTACGAAAAAGAAAGAAAAACACATATACATATGTATATACATTCATTCAACTAAGAGATTTATACATTCATTCAACTAAGCCATTTATGTTTATATTTTCCATTTCATACTTTCCAGGAAAAGTTGGGTTTATTACAGTATAAGTAGACAGGATTAGGATCAAGCATATTCTTTGTTTTCCATGTATATAGTTACTGAAGTTTGAAGAAGGTCACTGTTTCTGCTAAAGTTAAAATAGGTGCATATAATAATATCAGCTGAGAAACTGACTATGTTTTGATACTTCTATACTGCTTAAGGGTCCGAGTCTTGGCAGATGTACCTAAGGACAGATGATCGAAATTTTATGAAAATTATTACATGGAGCTGGAGCATATATACTAATGTCTAATTTTTAATGTAAAATTGGAATAGTAAAATTTAATTTAATTCTTTAGGTCATTCTATGATGAAATGGCTTTTCCTCTTATTTCAGCTTTGAGTGCTGAGAATCAAAACTGGAGAGTAGCGGCAAAGTGGCCGCTGAAGCATTATGAGTCTAAATTCAGACAACTTCAGCTGTAGCTAAAGCAGAATTGAGCTAAAGCAGCAGACTTGATAATTGGTCTGCTTCTTGACTCTTTAATACAATTTAAAAATGACTGAATAAATTATTTTCTGAAAGATTTAGTGGACAGAGTTAACTAGTTAAGTGCTCAAAGGTATGTAATTTTTTTAAAAAAAACAATATTTTGGTTTTTCAGTACAAAACTAGACATTGCTTTTTAAGAAATAGTAAATAGTATATAACTATTTACTTTAATGCTCTGATGGTAATTTTATCGGAATTGAATTGCGATACTAATTAGAAAAAGAAAAAAGAAAAAAAGTGGGGGAAGAAAAAAGTTTTGTTTTATAACGGCTAATTCTGGGTTACTTGAACAAAAGGTGATTTGATTTTGAGAACTTCCTGTTTTTTACTTTACAAATATGGGATGCTTTCATTATTATGCTATTTTATTTAAATAATGTTGAATTTATGCCAGGGGTATAAACTCATGGCCCATGGGCCAGATGTGTCACGTGCTGGTTACGCCCACCCATTTTAGCGAAGGGGGAAAAGTTGCGATATGTCACGTGATGCTGTGACGCCGCAAGTTTGACACCCCTGCTTTATGCTATATTGACCAGCATAAAAAATTAACATAGCAAAAAATCTGAAATTATATTGCCTTTCAATACATAGATAAGCATATCTTCTCTTAAGAGAAATGTTCAATATATATCACTGTGTAGTGAAATAAGGATGGAGACCAATCTTGTCTATATGAACCTGAAAATAAATTTTACAGAATGTAATACATTGAATACAGGAAATATAGATTAAGTAAAATAATGGTATATCAGGAAAACATACATAGAATTTCATGGTGTAATTTATTATGACATTTTAAGGCTCAACGATTGAATGTTTCTTGTTTTTCTAGAATTGTATTCTTAAGTAACCAAAAGAAGTTGTGCCAAATAATTGAAAAGAAGAAGTACAATATTTTTATAATCCTTTCTAGTATATATTCTATGTATATAATTAAAACTCCAAGGAACCTACAACTTTCTGAAATATAGCTACAATATGAATCTAAACTTCATAAGAAAAACAGTATAATAATGTTGTCACATCATATTGAAACATTACTAATAGTGCACAGGTAATTTACAAGCTCAAGTTAATAGAGCTGTGCTTGAAGCAGAAATGAGTTTATGGCATGAGATCAGCCAAATTTCAAAACACAACAGTATAATCCCATTATAGGCCAACAGCTCTTGTATGCCAATGTGAGAATTTTTTCCTCTCATCTCTCTTTTCTTTAGATGACATCCAATGACGATCTTCAGACTCAAAGAACTGATATATGAAGTGTTAATTTATGAAAAGGAAAAATTATAGTTTTTGTTTAGTTGCTTGGGAATATTTCACATGTTTTTCATTATAGTGTTCTGATTGTAAGTTATGGAAAACATTTGGGATGTTTATTTCAGAACAGACCCTCCTTTATATGTACTAATTTGTGCTCTACTTGATAAGTCTGTATTGACAGTGTTTTAATCCTGGATTCAGTAATATTATTCTGCAATAATGTGATAGTTTAATTTCTCCCCTTCCCTCTTGGGCGAAAAAGAAGAAAAACAAAGCTATCCTGGACATTTATAACACTTGCACTTGTGATACTGTGATGATTTGGGGGGAAAAAAGGAAGCAAGCAAGAAAGAAAGCAGAGAACTATTAAAAATGGCAAAAATTGCAGTAGAAGCATGTATTTCTACATGATTTCAGAGTCCATAGAAATAATATCCTAAACCACCACCTGCATTTATGCCATTTTCATTCTGTCAATCAATCAAATGTATGAAAGGGTCTGAGAAATGAAAGCCTCTTAGTCTTTGCTGAACATATTATTGATATGCTGATTAAGCATAGCAGAACTGATTATTAACTGCAATTCACATAAATTACAGCACTACAGATGTGGAATGGGGGAAATCCAAGTCTTGTCAGTCAATAAAATGAATCTGAGTACATTTGCAGAAGGGGAAGAAAGAGTCATAACCATATTTTATGTATTCAAGTAAGAAACTCTCCTGTTCAGTTAAGTGTTAAAAGATTGCTGATATCTAAGACTTTCTGCACTTAGACTATATACTAACAGCTTTCAAAACATTTAATATTCATTTTCAGTGAAAGCATTACTGTACTCTATTATATATATATAGTCCATATTACATAAGAGTACAGCCTATATTTTAGGCCTATCACCTATGCATGTGTGTGTTCAGTCAAGGTTGGCTCCTAGCACTGGGGGAGAATGCCTGGCCGAGGGTCACCCATTTGACTTTGAGCCTAAGCAGGCTCAAAGTCCCCCAGTTTTTATCCTGAGGCCTTAACCACTGCACCAATCTGGATCTCATACTTTGGATTATACATATGTAAAGATTGGACACTTTTTTTTTTTCTAAATTCAATTCAAGAACTCCCACACATGAGTTTTGAATTTCCCTTCCCCTATGCTAACAATGTCAGTGTAGAAAAAGCATGTCTAAAATTCTCTGTTGTGTTATTTAATAATTGGGAAAAGTCTTTCAGAATATTTTCAATATAATTAAAATACTTAGAATACAAAAGTATAATAGGTGCAAATGTATAACAGACCAATTTATTTTACATTAAGTTTTATAAAAAGAGGGAAATTTACCTTCAGGAAAAATAGAAGACATCTAATGCAAGAAAAAAATAAAGTGATCTGGTTAGTGTAATGTGTCATCTATGTATGTCCCCCTATTTGATAACATAAATAGGGTTTCAGATCAACCATTTATTTTCTAGAACCATTAATACCAGATTTGGATTTGCTAACTAGAAC